CTAGTAATATATTTACTGAGAAAAATGGTGATGTGTTCAATACTTATTTTACCCGCTGTACGTGCTAAAATATGTTGTTCACATCATGGCAGGACTAAAAGACAAGGAGCTTAGCCCCCAGGGGCTATAAGTGTCCGGTTTGTTTAAATAAAAATGTACTAAAAGAATTAAGATCATTAACTTTTTGTTTATCATTTAAAATGACTGCAGATGTATGAAACCCTCCAGTTCATCTCTTAAAGTTACTAGCCAACTAGCACCCTGTGAATTTTATGTTTAGAATAAGGGGGAAGAAAATGTCTAATCACAATGGGCCTCATGCAAGAACATGTTCGTATTCTTCTCCTAAATTTCTCTTACTTTTGTTCGTACAAAGGGTTCATACGAACATGTCACGTCAGATTCAACAAACTCTTCTATCTTCAGGAAAAGTGTGTAAATGAGGAACGTAAACTGATGAATGTGTATCAGGTGCTTGTGCAAGAGGAGAGGTTATTTACATAATTACCACCCCAAAAACACCATATAAGGTTACGCTTCCTGCCCCAAATACCAGGAAGTGTCCATTCATAAATGACATCGCAAAGTAAAAAATAAGAACTTTACGAATTCAGAGATTGAAGTCCTGGTCTCGGAGATCCACAAAAAAAAAATTAATTTTTAGCAGCTTCAGCTTGTAATTAAAGGATCTGCTTTAAAGCTGAGGAATGAAATGATGACTGCTGTTAATGTCTCCTGTGGGTCGTATACAGTCACAGAAATAAAAATCTAAATCATATTCATCTCTCTCTAGTCCTGTTCTGGTTTTTCTTTGGTCAAATATTTTTAATATCAGTGTAAACAACTGTGTTACATAGTTTTCATTTATTCAGAGGAGCCCCCCCTGAGTGTTTTTATTCTCAAACACTCACATTACTAATCTGCAGACACATGGATGTTTGCTACTGATTTGTCTTTTTGTGACATTCCAGTATCAAACCATGTGTTGAAAGCCAACAGGCAGMTAAAGAACTGCACCACTGATACAAACTCTGAGACAAACGTCCATGAAAGGAAAACACAGTTTTAACTTGTCCTTCATTGAAAAAACCTGTGTAGATAAAATATCTTACAATWCAAACAGTTTAGATTTGTTCTGTTTTATCAAAGAGACTGAAGTTGTTTGAAAAGCTGCATGTTAGGACTGACTGTAGAGTTTGGTTGTATTTATTTTTATTTATTCTGAATTTGCCTCTGGTCGCAGCAGGTTCCTGTGTAAGGAAACTGCTGCGTATAAGCTGTGTATTTGTGTTGAGATGAATAATGTTTGGTGCTCACCTGGCTCTTGTTTTCAGCTCGGAGGGATTCAACCAGCTCTTTGACTCTGAAGGGTTTCCCCACCAGGACTGTGATTCTCTGAAAACACATCACGAGTTACCTCTAAGGTCTCCGGCAGGACACACTGCTCACATGTGATGCTGGGTTGTCGGAGGTGATTTCAGTCTGTGTGTTACTTTGTTAAAGGTTCAGTCAAAGTTTGTGCTGCTGCCTCATTAACCCTTTCACTGCTGCTCAGTTCTTGGCTGGTTTTAKTCAGAGATGCGTCGGTCCACAGCTATGCAGCAGGAGCTGAGCTGTGTTTCATTCTACCTGCACGTCTGTTATAGACAGAGTACGCAGCGTTCCTAAAACTAGACTTACCAGATAATCTCATGAAGGATGGAGCTGTTGCTGCAGCAGCTCCTAAACTCTAACAGGTCTCTCTATAAAACCTCTTCTTTTACAACTTTTCCTAAAACTCAACTCCTTTCCTTGACTTTTAACACAGTGTAAAAGTTTGATTTATTTCATTTTATATATTTTTTTGCTTGATCTGATTTAATGCATTTTACCATTTTTATTATTAAGTTTTAATGTACTCATATTTGAACTTCGTAAAGTGAGTTGTGTTGTCGACTCTGTGCAGCACTTTGTGTTGTTTTAAAGTGCTTCACAAATAAAGTTGGATTGAATTAGAAATTTAAAGCAGAACTGAGAAATATTGATGGGTTAGTGGTCTTACGTTGCCTGTCCGAGGAATGTAGGGCTTCATATTTGGCAGAACGTCACTCAAGCCTGAGAAAAGGGTGGATTAAGCAGAAATTAGATTCAGTTTAACATGAAGTGATTCCAGAGAGCGTTGACAGAGAGGAGAAGGTAGAAATGACTCAGCCTGTAACTGAAAATATGGATGGAGGACAACAGTTTAGCTTGTTTGTCGTGCTAGCACAGAGCTAATAAGGCAATATAGCGTCAGTGCTAGCG